TTTCCATGGATGATTATAAGCATTAAACATTTCCGACGCGTTCGATTCTAATATTAAGAAACAACTTCACTTCGATAAGCTATTAAGTTCTTTTTAAATCTCAATATAAAAGATTTCTTATAAAAAAAATAAATATTAGACAGTGATATATAAATATGTATAATTCAGATTCAAACAAAAGGCACTCATGTCTGGAAGCAGTCAACCGTTGTCCTGACGAAGAACCTTGGTTCGGTATAGAACAAGAATACACTTTATTAGATGTAGACTTACGCCCCCTTGGGTGGCCTAAAAACGGTTATCCAGGACCCCAAGGACCTTATTATTGCGGCGTCGGCGCTGACAAAGTTTACGCTAGAGATATCGTTGAAGCTCACTATAGGTAATAAAATTAATAACATCCCATTAGACAATTTGTTTAATATTATCTTTTTTCCAGAGCTTGCCTGTATGCTGGAATTCGCATTTCTGGTACCAATGCTGAAGTAATGCCAGCTCAATGGGAATTCCAAGTAGGTCCTTGTGAAGGTGTTAGCATCGGGGATGAACTGTGGGTGGCCCGATATCTGCTTCATAGAATAGCTGAAGAGTTTGGTGTGGTAGCAACCCTGGATCCAAAACCAATGCCGGGAGATTGGAATGGAGCAGGAGCTCATACAAATGTTAGCACCAAAAAGATGAGAGAAGAAAATGGAATAATGTATGCGCAAACATAAATAGCATTAAATAGATTATTATTGTTTAAGTAATAAAATATTTATCTCCTCAGTGAAATCGAAAAAGCCATTGACAAGCTTTCAAAATGCCACTTGAGACACATCCAAGCCTATGATCCTAAAGGAGGACGTGACAATGAACGTAGACTGACAGGTCGCCATGAAACCAGTTCCATCCATGATTTCAGTGCTGGTAAGTTTATTTTCCATATTTCATGGTCTTGGCACGTCATCATATGTAAGTTTTGGAGCATATATTGCACAATATTTCTTTTAGGTGTTGCAAATCGGGGTGCCAGCATTCGCATACCACGTGGGGTTGCAGAGGATAAGAAAGGCTATTTTGAAGATCGCAGACCAAGCTCCAATTGCGATCCCTATTCTGTTGTTGAGGCAATTGTTAGAACTTGTCTTCTTAATGAATAAAATAAGTTCTTAATAAGAAGTTGCACACCGCACACTAACCAAAAATTGTTATTAAATCTAACAAATACGTACTCATGTTATCATAACATGTTATTATATATTTAAATACATTTATATTGTACATACATAAAACAATGAGAAACACAATCAAAAATTTAAAAAAAAAATTGTTTTGTTTGTATTATGGCATATTCAATGCATGCCGCTAAAGCGGATTTGTTAAAAATTTATTATATTTTAAGTAAGTTCTTTCAATGATAAGGTAATTCAATTGATATAAAACATTGCCAGTTCATTTCATATCAAATTTAATAAAGATTATATTTAATATTATAAATTGCATTTTCAATTAAATAATGAGTGATAAAATGAATGAAATCTTAACAATGTAACATCTCAAGGGATCAAAATACTAATTATTATAATTTTGTAATATTATTTCACTCTTATGCTTTCATTGCTGCTTTTACTTGTGCTTGCTGAAACTGGTGTTGAAGCTTCTGCAAAGCATCACGGTGTTTATCCTGTTTCTTATCCAGATCTGCAATAAATATAAAAATTGATGTATGAAAATATTATACAAATCATGAGAAAAATCAGCAACTTTATAAAAGTAAATTCTTTAAATATTTAACTAAAATGACATGGAATAGGAAGCCATGCTGAAAGTTCCACAATGTTTTTAAAAAATGTTAAAAGATATTACCAGCAAAAAAAATGTTTTATTTAAAAAAATATTTCTGCAAGAGGTGTATAGTTATCACTTTTCCTGAAGTTTAAAATGTTTGATTAACCTCGAAGAGAAAAACCCAGAATTAGATCAATGTAAGAAGTTGCTATAATAAACTGAGAGCAAACAGTTTAAACCGAGCTTAGTTTTTGGGATGGACAAATAAAAATTCATATTCTTGAGATAAAAATATTGAATCTAGTCAACATAAAGAAAAATGTAATAGATCTAATTGTGATCACATCTGTTTATACAGTTATAAAATAAAACACATAAATGATTATTTTGAATAACATAATTGTAAAATTTGATTCAGAATTCATAAAAATATAGTATATAGTGTAGAGTTATCAAAAAAATATTAAAAACAGCCAGAATTCGTTTTTGATCACAGGCCAAATAGCACATTCAATTATTACCTGTAATAACACCGTTC